TTCTTGTTACTACTAGTAAGGCACTTGTTACTAGTAGCGATGCGCTTGTTACTACTAGCTTCTTGTTTCTATTTGGACCTGGTCACACTGGACCTGCCACTATCCACGGACCTCGCTCCACCAGGACCCCACTCTGAGGCCCTCGGCCGCTGAGGCCGACCGCGGCTTTGGCAATTGTTTGTCATGGTTTGACAAGAATCATCCACTGTTAGATTGTTACATGTTAAACCTTATTGTGGCCTCTTTGTTTGTTGGCCTGTATGGTCAAGGAAAAGGTTCATGTAAATGACTACTACGTACTATCTGTGACTGTAGAGATGTCGGCACCAAAGAAAACTCATCCTCCACTGCGCCCGCTGGTGGGAGAAGAGGTAGCTCGGAGAGGTAGCTCCACCGATGGGTCGTGCGACCGGAGCCATGACGCATAGACATGACGCATTGGTTGTATCATATCAGGTTCCCATGGAAAACCAATCAGTATAGGAGCACCCAGTTTGGGTGGTGATTGGACAATACATGGTCAGAGGGGGTCTATAGGTGATCCTGTGATCCTTTCGGTGCTGTTAATTATAGTCGTCCATGAATCCTGGTAATCCTGGCTGTTCTTATTCTTTGTTCTTTTGGTCCCAGACTCCAGATCACTGAAATCGACGTCCGTGTGACTATCACGACGCCAGCTGGGACATCACCACTGGCTCCAAAGCAGCGGCGGCATCATCTCCCAGGCGGACGCTGGAGATCTCCCGAGTCCTGGGGACCGGCTCATGGGGGTCCGACTAGTCCTACTACGAACGCACAGACATCAGACGGGTCTTTTCGTAGATCCTATTGTGTCCTGGAAAAGACGCCGGTCGCCCCTGCAAAACCTGGAAGAAAGCCACGTGGTTTTGGATTGTCGGATTTTCTACCAGGAGATACCAGGAGACCCTGAACATGCCTTGCGGGTCTAACCTCAATTTGAGAGCTACCCACCTTCAACTAATGGCATTTGCCGAAGGATCACTGCGTTTTTGGAGGGATTCCAGCAATTGGGGAGAACATAATCTAGCGATCCATTCGAACAGCAAAGTCAAACATATCTCCCCTAAGAATCAAGGACCCTCAAAGGAGCTTTATTGTGTTTTATTATCTTGGCCCCGTGCAAGCTTAGTCCCTTAGTCCGTCCCTTGTACTATGGCACATTGACTGTCATTGACTCCACAAGCCGCTTGATTTGGGTGTTCAGATTCTCCGGATGCTTGGTGTGTTGGTCCTCGAGATCTGTGTCACATGTATCTTCCTCCGTATTGGCCTCCCCAATCCCAGGGGTTCGCCGGCCGCTTCTCCCTCCGACAGCGTCCCTTCACCGGGTCGACCAGGTGGATGAGGATTCCATGAAATCCCTCGTAGGTCGAGGACGGATGAAGCCAGTGGAGCCGCGGTGTGTGGTGGGTCTTCTGGGTCGATGGTTGTCTCGTAGGTCGATGTGTCTCAGCATGTCAGCATTCAATCACCAGACCTGGCTTAACTCAAGGATATGGGATTTCGCCGGCGAAAAGCGTCTTAAGAGTATGGTATTATTGTACCTATTATTATATGGGTGTGAGTCCAAACCTGGAGCCCGCAACTCACCCTGGTAGGGTTGACCATGTTTGGTAGGTGGTCAACGCGGGTACCCCGGTTTTGACCCACTGCGTCAAGATCTTGACAGATTCAGACATTGACCCCCAGGATGACATTCTTAAGAAGGACTTTTGTACTGCTGTTGGAAGAAGCGTGGGTAGATGATGGTAGATGTGGGTCGATGATGGAAGATATGCATTTGTTGATTGTCAATGGGTTGCATCTTTTTGCCATAGTTCCATCATGTTCTATCAGCGTATGTTTATTTGCGGATAACCCAAGATCCCGCACGGTACTGCGAGTGGGATCTAGGAAACCCGGCGCAGTTTAACCCGCTCTGATTTCAAAAATTTCGTGCGACAGCTAGAATCAGGGTTGGACGGAGCGCTTCGACGAGATCCGAGAACCCAGCATTAGTACATATATTTATATAACCATATCAGAGAGTGGTCCCCTCCCCCGGCAGCCTTTTGGGGTCCTTGTGCTTGTCGACCAAACTGGAGGCTAGCTACCGACCGGATGACGGATCGACCAATTCGCTCTGCTGGCCCAATCGGTCGCTCTGCTGGGTCCGAAGGGTTCGCACATTTGGTTCTTCCAGGGCGGGCTGCCCTGGCGGATTTGGATGTTCATCCGCATGGGTGAAGAGGGGAGGGAGCAGGGCCGAGCAGGGCCGCAGGACTCTGGTTGGAGGCTACTGGTACTACGTAACAAGAAGCTACTATAGATGCTACTAGGGCATCACTACTTAGTAACAAAACCTCTGCCTTTCTTTCGGACCCGTGCCAGTTGGACGCCGGGTTGGACTCTCCTTGCGACCGCTCCGTGCCAGGCCCTTGCACGCTTTCTGGTTCGAGGCGCTTCGGACCCAAGGCGCAAGACGCGAGACGCTCGGGACGTTTGAATTACCCGGCCACTGGTCCATGCAGGCCATGTAGTCCTGCATGTAGTCCTGCATTCGTATACCAGCACTTTCCAACAGGTCTCCGGAGACCGGAGAGGCTTTGCAGACTGAAAAAATGACTGGTGTTGGTCACAAAAGCAGGGCAGTCCTATGTAGTGGGAGTGAAGGGAAGAACGAGAACATGAAGCCTTCCTCCATGAAATTCAGCCCTTCTTTCACTTCTTTCAACCTATTAAGTACTTCACAGCACCTATACTGGCATGAACAACCCAGGTTCCACTTGGACACATCACAACATAGACACGCTCCATATTAATGTAGACTCTTGATTAATAAACCCTCCCATTTGAATGCACTCACTTGCGGACTTACGTACGCGACCACACATACCCTTGTCATGTTGTATGACGGGTGTTGGTGGTGATGGGCAGTGAAAGATGACGTATGGAACTCGGGTGGTCCAAGTGAAATATGTACAGAAACATCAAAAGTGAAAACGAACAGCAATTGCGAACCGGGCATAAGGCAAAACAAAGATCCTTGCTCACTAATTGGTTGCACTTCATGCACAAAACGCATCTAATTGCCAGGGGCATTCGGGTGTCGTATGGTGTCATTTTTTTTTGTGACGGAAAAGGGCATATCGCACATGTTGAATGAAGGCATCCTGTTTTTTCACCTGGGATTTCCGGGAGACCCTCCCATTTGAATTGGACATGCTCTTCATATCTCTTCATATGGGGTTTATTAATCAAGAGTCTACATTATATCTTATTATGATGCTTGATATACTTTGATCTATCTATCTTTGGAGGAGGGCAGTTCTATTAGGTTGAACGGTTTCCAACCTTTTCCGCCGACGACCACGCCAAACCGTGTCCCACCGGACACCGTGTCCCACCGGACGGCTCGGACGCACGAAGTCCTCCGCCTCCCTCATGCCAGGTCAAGCAATTCCCAGCCTACGTGCGAGGGCTTCGGGGCGACCAAGCAGATGGAGTGGAGGCGCCGTGGTGTTCTTCTTTTGGAAGTGGATGATTTGGGTTTGATTTGGGATTGATCTGGATGTCATAGTCGTTGATTGTTTGTTTTTTTCCGGTTGATTTGGAAGTGGAGTAGTTGTCATTTTTGTTTGGAAGAGACATTAGGAGTGGAAGCTTCCCAAAAACCAACGGCGTCGCTTGTTCATCCATTTGTGGGTTCACCAAAACGTTGGTCACATGATTGGGGTATTTGGGAACTTGGTCGCTCATCCTCCCCGAGCTGAGCCAGCGCTTAGCCAGCCGCATGTGAAAACCAAACTGAGCCTTGCCGTGGTGGACTGGGGGGTCAGAAGTCAGAACTTCCTGCTGGGAAGCTCGAAGAGAAAACCCGCCAATGCCAGAGCAGCCGGCGATCGCTCCATGGTTCAAGATCCCATCGCTGGGAGATCGCAGCGATCCGTGGCTGGTTTCCCTTGGTTTTTTGTTCAGCAGTTCGAGGCGCATCATGTGAACGGTCGTGAACCTAGTTGTGAAGCTATGTGGAGACTGTCCGTTGGTTCTCTGATGTTCTCGACCGCCTTTTGACCGTCACGATGCGTCACCAAACAAGCTTGTTTTTAATTCAGACCGTCTCAATGTCATCCAAGAGTCAGCTAGCATTAGCATTAATTATATAGCTACAAGCATTCAGGGTGGGACCTAAGAGGCGATGATCCTCTGTAAAAACATGGGATCTGATGACGCTCATCTGACTGGTGCGACGAAAGTCGGGAAATGAGAGTGTTTGGATCGAATGGAATCTCTATTGCGGACGAGCTCCTTCCCTTATTCCCTACGAGTCGGACCAGTCAGTCATGGGACCTGCGATGTTGTGGCCGCGACGTCATGAGTTCGTCCTCGTCGCGAACAAGGACCGGGGAGAGACGCGACGGTTGGCCGGATAGTTTGCTGGCCCAAGGGTGGCACCGTTTAGGGATCCAAACAATCTGACGAACTCACAATGGAAACAGCCAGTGGTAAGATCTGGTATCGGTGCCGGATAAAAAGTCCGGCATCGGTGAGCCAAGAGTTCGGTAGTTGTGTCTTGTCCAGAAGTGATTTGACCTCAAAGATTGCATGGGTTATGTCAGTGTTTCATTCAATCGCCTGCGAGCTTTTCAGGCCATTGATCTAGCGTCATGCATCAACAGTATCTTTGGCCTGCCATTTTGCGTGCGAAATCAGACATCGGCGGCGACGCTGCCAGCGTTGGGAACCCGAACCAAGAAGTGTCAACACAGTGGATGAAGCCTCCGTTCCATCCCTATCTCCATCAATTTTGTGTTGGATTTTCTTATTTGTTCAACATGTAACATGCGGGTCATGCTGCTCTTGGATGCCTTTGATGAATGCGTTTGGGTGCTACTGTAGTCTTTCGTAGATAACAGGAGTGGGGTAATTCTAAGCGTTTTGCTAGATAATCAGGCACAAAACCCTTGTTCATTCACTTGAATTCACAAATTGAACCTGCATCAGCCCTTACTCTCCACATTCCCCAGCGGCCGTGCACGTCTGCGATGGTGCGTGTGATGAGCTTGAGTGGTGCGGAGATCATGAGCCGGACAGAGGTGCTGCAACTGGAAGAGCTTTGGACAGAGGCCTGGGAGAGCTTTGCGACTGGGGAGTCGTGGCAAGCTGTGGCAGGGGATTCGAGAATTGATTGAACAAAGAAGGAGAGGAGGTGATCGGCCCGAACCGTGGGTTTCGGGGTCGCAAGATGTGTGATGAATGAATTCGAAGTGGCTTAAGGGTTCCGAATACGTTGATTCGAGTGGCTTATACAATACGTTAGTAGCTGGCCTGGCTGGGCAGAATTGGACGCCGAATCCAATCTCCAAATCTTCGTATTACTGCTACCAAAGTACTTTGGCCGTTGGGTGTGTGCCTGCGTCGTGTGTTCGTTGGTATTTTCAACCAATGGTGGCTGCCTTCGCTCCAGGTGGCTGCCGCCCTGGGCCACCATTGCCGGCTGCTTCGTGGCGGAGAGGAGTTGACCGACGCCATGACGGAGATCGCGGTGGAGGACGAGCTCACCGCGATCATCTGCAGCATCGAGCCGTGGATGAAGATGTGGCCGGGTCAAGAACGAACGTGTGGAATTTGGCTTTGATGGACCCCCCGTACATCGGCGACCTGGGGGGGGGAGGGTATCTATATACAGGTATAGGAAGAAGAACGATCGGCTAAGAGTCACTGATTCTTCTTGTGCAAAAAAAAGAACTTGAGAAGTTCCTAGTTGGGGTGAGATTATTTCAGACCCATCCTTTGAGAGAATGGGCATCCATCCTCCATTGACTCCATCTTTGGACTTCTGGTAGTGACCTGTCAGCTCCGAAGCGAGGATGTTTCTTTCCAGCTGAGTGAGGTTGGGTCTTCTGCAGGAGGATGGCACTCCCTTCTCAGAGGCTTACAGTCGAGGAGACTTGGAGACCATGGCGCTGAAACTGGGACGTGCAATCCTTTCGATCGCCTGTTGCTTGAGCAACACAGGATGAGTTGCCGATCGCCTTTTCGCCTTTGGTGGAGGATGGGATGGGATCTGGTCCGAGAGTAGGGTTAGTGTCAGGTAACTTCAGTGAGGAAGCATATATAATTACACAGAATGCCATCTTTGGGAACCTCCCTGTCACTGCAACCAGCAGAGTCACGTCAGCCTATTTTGTCGAGTGAATCATTGATTGAGCTGTTATAACTGAGACAATCCATGTATGTTATACATTGACTTCCAAACCACCCCAATGTAGGCAAAGTTGGTATAGTATAGACGGCGTGTTTGGGTAATGGCTCCCTTCAGACGACTCAGGTTGCCACGGGCGCGTTGGGCATTTGGAGGGCTACCTCTCTGTCGATTGGCCTTTTGGCACTGCCATGCCCAAAGCCTTTGCGGAGAGCACACGGCGCAAAAGAGAAGGCGAACTCCTGTCCCTCGCTGAGCACCGAACACCTGACCCCAGCGGAAATAGGATGAATTAGGTCTTAGGTGCTCCTGACCCCAGGTGTTCGGTGTGTGTTTTTTTTTCGATCAAACCAAAACCAAAACCGGGCGGGGGGGGCGTCTCTCTTCCGTCCGGGGACGTCTCTCTCGTGTCTTGTCCCTGCGGCAATCGGTGGTCCTGAAGGTCTTGGTAGACAAGAGTACGGTGGTTGGTAGACCATGAAGAACCCCCCCGCAACGTTTAGAAGAGAAATCCTCTTCATATGGGGTGGCTCCTTTTCATATGGGGTGGCTCCTCTTCATATATATATGGGGTGGCTCCATAAAAAAAAATACAATCCAGACATCTGCATGAACAAGTTGTATCATTTACGTTCATTTACTTAAACTGGGTATCCACTCTTTGAAGAGTCACGATGCGTCAGTCGATGCGTCAAACGACGTGCCTTTGCTCGCACGTCGTTGGCACGTCGTTGGGCGCTCTGAGGTTGACCCCTGACCGTGAGATCTTACCTGCTGGCGCTCGGCTTCGGATCTCGTGCGCTGAAGGGACTCACGGAGAGGAAAGTGTCAGGACGGTCGGTGTGTGTGTGTGTGTGGGTGGGTGGGTGGGGGGGTATAGGAGCCCTCTTTCCTCACAAAGACCAAGTATACGAAATACAAAGGAGCGTGACAATCCAAGACTTCCAATTCGAAAGGGATGGAATTGAGGTCCTACGAGTGGGCATGAGTGGCACCCCTATACCCTGTAACATCCTGTAATCACCGCTTCTTGCTCAGAGACTCCGAGGTGTAATTCTGAATAAAGACCCGCTCGACATTCCTCAGACCCCACAGTCCCACACCAAAACTGGCCTTCTTTCTTAGTGAGTGGGCAGGCGCCTTCCGGCCACCCGGTGGCCGCTTTCTGATCGTCTCCACCTCGACCTCGTCGGCGAGGACCCTGTCCAAAGCGATGACACTGCAGGACCTCCTCGAGCTCCAGCGCCGCAATCCGCTGGACCGCGCCCTGTCCACCACGTCGACGGCGTCCAACGGCGTTCGCGAGTTTGCGCGGGAAGGGCATTTTGGAGCAACGAAGGACTCCTGTTGTGGGATGTTGTGGGTCTGTAAAGGCTCTCCATGATCTTCAGCTGCTTTTGAGTGTCAAGTTGGCAAGCTGGTTTAGTATTGGAGGGTATATAGTGCCATGTGGTGCCTCCCATTTGTCAGCGGACTATGCAAACATACGTAAGTTCCACTATGTTCCACTCAGTTGAAACTCCTGGTGTGCTTGCTTCACTTTTGGAATTCCAGGGGAACGCAAGAAAGGAGAACCGTCGGGTTTGGATGTGCTTCAAAAAAAGCTTGGACTTCTCGTTCTTCCAGAATTACTGAAACAGATCTGAAACTGTTCTTCTCCTCAGTTATGTGGACTGTTGATGAAATGTGTAAAACCCCAAACCATTCTGGTGAGGGATTGGAAAAAAAAGATATGTCTTTTTCACAGAGAAATGACCGTCAGGAAAAAAATATATTTCCACTAGAATATCTAGTATGATGGTGTAGCCACCCCCCCCCCAGGGGTAGTGTTCCCCCTTTATAGCTGATATGTGGTAGAACATTAATAAAACCAATTTATGTTTCAAATTTAGTTATTTTAGCAACCATTTTGTAAATTCCAAAGATAGCCGTTAAACTGTAGTGCAACTATATGGGTAACTGTTGACTTTTAATAACCTTTATAATCCTTTTATTTGAACAACACGTGTACCTAAACAATAAAGACAACGGACAAATAATAACATAAACAACAAAACACATCTAAATAGACTTTTTTCGTTTGCTTGAATGTTGTAGTAAATGTGGTGTTTCCATGAACATACATGCTTTTCAGCATTATGGCGTTTGTTTTGTTCAGAGACTAAGTATTGTTTAATTGGTCAAAATAAAACTGTAAACATATACAGTGCAATATGTAAGAAGTTGGTGATATATATATATAGTATACACACTCTTTTTGCAAATAGTTTGTTATCAACATATTTGAAAAGCCCCCGCAAAAATTTCGCGAAGGACTAAGGGTTGAAGTGTTTATTGTGTTTATGTAATTGTTTTAGATATTTTTTTGTGTATTACTCAACAGTCAACATTGGCAAACTCGTTAAAATGTTTGTGTAACATCTTTGGTTTGTTACTCAAAGTCAGCATTAGCCCTTCCCAAAAGTCAACAGATGCCAAGAACGTCAGGGGCTTAAAAGAAGCCTCACAGGTTCACATGTCCGAGATCCAACAGCCGAGCTACGCAGAGCTACTGCATGAAACAACTTCTACCCACCACCAGTCACGATCTCACGAGCGATTCAAGCACATTTAAATCCACTGATGGTGACTTCCACTGCTGAAACCAGGTGAAGAGATGATCAAGCTCTTGGCCTCTCCCAAGGCCGTGGAGTGCCAGGCGGAGGAAGTGCATCGCTTGGTCAAGGTCGTGGACTTCGAGCCGCCCGAGGTGCACTTGCAGCTTGCCTATGACGCTTGGACGACCCACGACGGGCCCATGGGCGGCCAGGGCCATGGTCCACCGGGCCATGGACCACCTTTGGGCTGTTGAGAGGTTTGAGCTTGGGGGGGTGTGGCGACTTGCAGGTTTTGGAGTGTTTCTTTTTGATGTGTGTGTGTGTGTGTTGGTTTGGCCTGTTAAGTTAAACTTGACTGAATTGATTGAAGATCACTTGTGTTCGGCGTATTCAGTCGTTCTTTGTGTGCAGGATCGTTCTTTGGAGAAACACATTCCACCCTTCTCGAGGAATTCTGCAGAGAGGATGACTTTTGTTGAGCATTGCCAAGCTGTGAACTGGCGCTTGAAGACCTGGATTTGGTTCGTTTCGGCCTCTCACGCAGAATAGCTGTGAGCAGGAGCTCCAACACCTGCATGGGTTCGTTTTAGCCTTTGTGGCCTTGCCCCGCAGAAGATCGTCTTTGGGGCGCATTGGTGAGCCCTTTGGGCTCCAAGCAGCGGCACGTGCTTCCTCCGCTTCGTGCTCCAGCCGCACCTGCGGGTTGAAGGCAGACATGTTTAAGATTGTATACTTAATGTACATAGTTTATGTGAGCGTCGTTCAAAAACCCACCTCTTCCTTGTTAGTGATCGAATTTCAAAGGCTGATTTCGAGTGTGCTCTCACTGCAGTCGCGAAAGGTTCGCGAAGGTCCTGCGAAAGGTCTGCGCAAGTCATGTTGGTGACCTGGCCACGCTGCAAGAACAATTGCTCTTCAGACTTCCGATTGCTTTTTCCCGGGTTGGGAAAAAGCAAATTGGAAATCTGAAACAATTTTGCTTTTTCCCGGGCCGGGAAAAAGCAAATTGGAAGTCTGAGCCTTTTGCTTTTTCCAGGCCTGGGAAAAAACAAGTTGGAAGTCTGAACCATTTTGCTTTTTCCCGGCCCTGGAAAAAGCAAATTGGAAGTCTGAGCAAACTGGCCTGACTGAGCCGTCTCTTGTTCATGGAGGGTTGGGCAATCAAAATGGCTTGGTTGGAAGTCTTGACCATTTTGCTTTTTCCCAGCCCGGGAAAAAGCAAATTGAAAGTCTAGATCATTGGCCCGGGAAAAAGCAAATTGGAAGTCTGACTGAGCAAACTGGCCTGACTGAGCCGTCTCTTGTTCATGGAGGGTTGCGCCCAACCAAAAACACACCAGCATGAAAATGGCTTGGTTGGAAGTCTTGACCATTTTGCTTTTTCCCAGCCCGGGCAAAAGCAAATTGAAAGTCTAGACTCTAGACCATTTTGCTTTTTCCCGGCCCGGGAAAAAGCAAATTGGAAGTCTGAGCAAACTGGCCTGGCTGAGCCGTCTCTTTGTTCATGGAGGGTTGAGCGCAACCAAAGCCGGAAGTCTTGATCATTTTGCTTTTTCCCAGCCCGGAAAAAAGCAAATTGAAAGTGTAGGCCGGGAAAAAGCAAATTCAAAGTCTGAGTCAAATTGGGAAAAATCAGTTTATATCAGGGTTACAAACTAAAATCAAGGAGCTGTGGCCTAATGGATAAGGCGCCAGGCTCATAAGCAGCAGGTTGCGGGCTCGAATTCCACAGGCGCTGCTTGTTTCCAGGCCGGATTCCAAACTGCAAGCCTGATACATTTTGCTTTTTCCCGGGCCGGGAAAAAGCAAATTGGAAGTCTGAACCATTTTGCTTTTTCCCGGCCCGGGAAAAAGCAAATTGGAAGTCTGAACCATTTTACTTTTTCCCGGCCCGGGAAAAAGCAAATTGGAAGTCTGGACCATTTTGCTTTTGCCGGCCCGGGAAAAAGCAAATTGGAAGTCTGGACCATTTTGCTTTTTCCCGGCCCTGGAAAAAGCAAATTGGAAGTCTGAACCATTTTGCTCTTTCCCGGCCCGGGAAAAAGCAAATTGGAAGTCTGAACCAATTTGCTTTTTCCCGGCTACTCGAAGTCTGAACCATTTTGCTTTTTCTCGGGTTGGGAAAAAGCAAATTGGAAGTCTGAGCCTTTTGCTTTTTCCCGTTGGAAGTCTGAACCATTTTGCTTTTTCCCGGGCC